CAAGGACAAAGGAGTTAAAGGAGCCATCAGTCAAATTCAACTGAGCTGCGAACTAAAATCTTGATTAAAAGAAAGGCACATAGTCAAGAAAAAGAAAGCCCGCCGGCTCCTCACTGGAGAGCAACGCTAGTGGGATAACTGGTTTACAAAGGAACCAGACTGATTGAAACAAAAAACTGGACCAAAGAACCAGCCTGAGCTGTTTGGGGCTTGGTTCCTTCCATTTACTCGCCAGTTGGCCACTACTTTGCCTTAAAACCTGCTGTTGGCAAAGCGCTCAGCTTGAATCTCCAATTAGCTGCCTTAATTCATGTTGCCATTTCAGCTTTGGAGAGCTTTGCCACAAGCTTTTGGCTGCCTTTACTTCGCCTCTGAAATTGCTGCGGAAGGAGGAAGCATTCGATTCAATTGTCCAGTCGGTCTGAGCTTAGGGAAGCACGCGGCTAGGCAACTGGGATAGGGGTGCCGAAAAGGCGCACCATCTGTTAGCACCCTTCAGTCACTATCAGAATTGTGGAAGGCTAGCTGTGCTTCCGTGCTTCCAATATGTTCCAAGCAAACGAATCTTCGCACACGTTGCAATGAAGGCCTTGCATTGAGACAACTAGAGCCTTCGGGAATCACAGGGCGTGTTTGTGAGGAGCCTTAAAGCATGATTGTTGGCAGCATGGTCTTGTTTATAGTCCTGGCTTTCCGTTGCTCGCTGCGTTTGGGAGTTTGGATGGATTTTGCAGTATCATGTTATTTTCCCAAGGCAATCATCTGGAACGTCAATTAAGCAAACACTATTCATGTTTTTCGTGAGCTTTGCTCAAGTACCGACATTATAAGCAAACAACAATAAACACATAGTCACATAGTCAAAGGGTACCAAAACATCGCAACACAGAACATATGTCGCAACCATTCCCAAACAACCCCAAAATACAACGTATACTCAATAAAAGCAAAGCTGCTTTTGCACGCAGCCAAAAAACAACAAACAACAACAACAAAAACAGGATTGGTCTCCCCAAAAATGTTGACCAACTCTGCTCGCCCAGCCCCCCAAGACCACCACTATCAACACTCGAGCAGCAGTAAGCCATCACTAGGCAGTACAAAAAATATGTTAAGCAATACTAAACCAATCAAACCAATACTGAACCAACACCACTAAACCAATCCACACCCTGCCAAAGCTATAGACTTGAGGGGGGGGGGGAATCTGACCCCTGAGTCGTCGTACCCGTTTCGCCTGTTGGGTCCCCTCAATTGTGGCGTGTCCCTTTACCAATTTTCTCATTCATGTTCCCCATTGCTAATGCTTCCCTGCATGATACAAATATGTGTTTGCTAGCTTCTCGGACTCTTTGATCCTATTGTTGAAAGCCTGCCCCCTGTTCACCTAATCTACACAGCCAGGTCTGCCAACCCCTATCATGACCTGCCCAGACTCAGTCGATCTGTTTGATATTTGGGTTGAGGTCAAGCCAGCTTAGCCCCACTGAGCAAGTCCTGGAGGAATCCCCTTGCACAGTCTCACCTAAGCTCCGTACATCATCTGCTGATTGTTTGCCATTGTCTGCGCCATGGCGTCTCTACGCTCTCATCTGCTACCTTTCCTCTCTCTCACGTATCAGGCTCAATAACTTGAGCCCCAATGCGGCAGGCCCAACGCGCTTTGGCCAGGTGATCCCCTAATCAACCGAGCACGGTTCAAGAAGCCCATGTTAGAATTTTGGGAAACAAACAAAAAAAGCACCAAACATCCAAGTCTCATGTCAGTCCGGCTGCATATGGTCACATATGGCTCACGTGATGGAATAACCACAGGTGATATACTCATATCAAACAGGAGGCTCAGACCAGAACCGCAGTGACACAATAAAACATGCGACTCAACGGCTTCTCTGCGCCTTCCAAACCGAGCACGGGAGTAGGACCCGTTTCCACGGGTCCGAGTTGGCCATGGGTCAAAATCCAAATCGTACCCCCAGTGAACATCAACCAATCCCAACTAAAATAGGTTCTAAACTGGGTGGTGAGTTCACCTACCAAAATGGGATCCCAAAACGGTTTTGGCCCGGTTTTTGCCTCCTCTCCGTCCTTTTCTGACTCGCCAAAGAGCCTTCGGCGATCCCCCAAAAAACCCCCCAGGTCGGCGTCGCTTAGGACCAGTCTGCCAGGTCCAAGCCAAGGCCTCGGTGGGACATCGATGTGCCTCTCACCGGCTCAAAAGCCCTGGCCTAAGATTTATTTAACCCCCACCAAGAGAATGGGTGACCCAATTAAGATGACCATCCCCAGGTGAATGGTGGTTATATATAAACTCCCACTGCTTTAATTAATTGCGTGTTGAACCCCAGGACGTGCGTTTGATGATGCGCCCCATGCCCACATACGGTCGCAGTGCCTGCAATCCATTCAATTTGTGGTTTGCAGAATTTCGAAACACGATATCTGCAACCGGAAGTGCTGTACTGTGTCTCCTCATTCTCCTGCAGGTAGACACCTGTCTGCATGATGTGACGAAGGTTCTAAGGCTCCACCCATGCTGCCAAACCGCTTCATTTGCTGAAGCAGCGAGGCATTCCAACAGATCCAAAGACAACTGGATTGCATACGTTTGTCCTGCAACGGCAATCAATATCCTATCTTCCAAGGGGGCCCCACCCCACCTCAACAGGCAAAATCCTCCAACCCATCCCATGCATCCCCCGATGGAAGGCTTAGACTGACCCTGGAAACAGCTGAAAACAGCTGCTTAAACAGCGGTAATGGGCCAAGCTGTGGCCCCCAAGCCTTACCCGAACTTGTGCCGAGGCGCGGATGCTGAGGAAGTCAGTGGGGCAGGCAGTTTCGCATCGCTTGCAACCGACACAGTCCTCCACTCGTGGGGAGGAGGCCACTTGCTTGGCAGCGTTGACAGTGGCAGGCACCATCTCCAAGACATCTGTGGGGCAGGCACGAACGCACAAAGTGCAGCCGATGCAGGTGTCGTAGATCTTGACTGCGTGGGAGCGCCTAGGCACCAAAGATGATGGCAACAACTACGTCTGTTTTGTGCGTGCGCTCTGTCCAGCCCACGTTTGAGCAGTGTCACATATTATGGCTCAGGCCCTGTGCCCTACTTGCACACCTACGCGGAAGCCTCCGCGAGCCTACGTGGATGCCTAAGCGGGCGGAGGTTCAGTTCAAGCGTGCTACATGTAGTCCACTTTGGAAGCAGTGATGTCCAAGCGAAGATTGCAGAAACAAACGAACGAAGGCGAGCAAAGCGCAAAAAACAAACATTACCTGGCAAACAGCATTGAACCACGTTTCGTTCACGAAAATGCGGCGCTCGCATATATGCAGCCCAGCCAAGATTGCCGCCGGAAACCGCATGCATTTGCAGAATCCCTTTCACTTGCTTAAAAACCGCTCATTTAAGCCCTACGGTCATACCATGATGTGGCATTCCATGGCTAGCTTTACAAGAGCAAAACCACATGCAAAAGTGTAAGCGCAAGGCATATGATGCGTCTTGGCAGAAGATCCATGTTTGCATAATGTTTGGCTTTTTCTGGAACGACGCAAAGTTTACTGTGCCTCAGAATTACTTCAGCTGCTCCTGGGAATGCAGTGCACTGGATACGGGCACTGACGCTCACGCATGCGCACGCAGGGGGGACCGACACTAGCGTAAGTGACCTTTTCAATGGGGAAGTGACCTCGATTCGCACCCCCACTGACACACACACACACAAATGACACGCTTTGACACTCCAAAACGCCATGTTCCGGCCATTCCGGGTCGGCCCCAATCAAAGGTGGGCAGTTGTCACACTTCGACACGGGTAGCTGATCGATTTCAACAGGATCCCAACCCCATCAAGCCAAAAAAGGGCACTTAGCAAACGAATCAAAGGGTCACTTAGGGCACCGCCGCTGCCTCCTCATGTGCCCTTGTTTTAAGCGCACGAACAATATGCTGGAGGGGTGTGGGTGTGGGCGTGGGCGTGGGCGTGGGCGTGGGCGTGTGTGTGTGTGTGTGTGTGTGTGTGTGTGTGTGTGTGTGTGTGTGTGTGTGTAAGTGTGTAAGTGTGTAAGTGTGTAAGTGTGTAAGTGTGTAAGTGTGTAAGTGTGTAAGTGTGTAAGTGTGTAAGTGTGTAAGTGTGTGGATGTGTGGATGTGTGGATGTGTGGATGCGTGTGTGCGTGTGTGTGCGTGTGTGCGTGTGTGTGCGTGTGTGCGTGCGCGCGTGTGTGTAAGTGTGTGTGTAAGTGTGTGTGTGTGTGTAAGTGTGTGTAAGTGTGTGTAAGTGTGTAGTAAGTGTGTGTAAGTGTGTGTAAGTGTGTGTAAGTGTGTGTAAGTGTGCGTAAGTGTGTGTAAGTGTGTGTGTAAGTGTGTGTAAGTGCGTGTAAGTGTGTGTAAGTGTGTGTGTGTAAGTGTGTGTAAGTGTGTGTCTGTGTGTGTGTGTGTGTGTGTGTCTGTGTGTGTGTGTGTGTCTGTGTGTGTGTCTGTGTCTGTGTCTGTGTCTCTGTCTCTGTCTCTGTCTGTGTCTGTGTCTGTGTCTGTGTCTGTGTCTGTGTCTGTGTCTGTGTCTGTGTGTAAGTGTGTGTGTGTGTGTAAGTGTGTGTGTGTGTAAGTGTGTGTGTGTAGGTGTGTGTGTGTGTAAGTGTGTAAGTGTGTAAGTGTGTAAGTGTGTAAGTGTGTAAGTGTGTAAGTGTGTAAGTGCGTATGTGTGCAAGTGTGTGTGTGTGGGTGCGTGGGTGCGTGCGTGTGTGGGTGCGTGCGTGCGTGCGGGGGTTGATCCAGGGGCAACTTGGCGTCTGTGCGCAACAGCGACCTCTTTGGGGCGGGGTAGCATCGTTTCCCCCCCCTCCCCCGCCCGTGTGAGCGTCATTCACATTCACGTGTCGCCGCGGCTCGATTTGCCCGGGCTGGGGAGGGATCTGCTGGGGAGGGCAACCCCGAGGGTCTTAGCGCCCTTGAAACGGGTCACTAAAACTACTAAATTATTCTTCTTGGCTGTTTATGCCGTTCGGCCAGGATCTTGAGACTTATGGTTTCTTTGCACTCTCCTTCAGGGTGAAGCACGACATGCCTGTCACTTCCATTGTCACTTCCATTGAGCCTGTTGCACATGCATTGGCCATGCGCTGGTGAAAGCTTTCTTAGGTTGGGGTGCATGCATGAAGCAGCAGCAGGAGTGACTACTCCAACTGCAATGTTGTGTCATGAGCGTTTCTGATGGAAGTCAGCGTCAGGCAATGGTGTCAATTGTGATATATCAAAGAACTTTGAAGTGCGCCAATGACCCTGCAAGCCTGTCCAAGCATGAAAAGTGCTAGCAAGCACTTTCTTTTCACTTGCCTGCAGAAGTAAAATATAGACAGGACGGAGCACACCCTCTTCATTCCGGATCCCTCTCCCTCCCGCGCCTCGCCACCTTCGCCGCGCGCGCCACGCCAAAGGCGGCAATCGCCGCCAGCGACGCCGCAGCTGCCCCCGCGAAGCGCTGGGCGCCTTCCGCGGCGCCGCCGGCGGCGCCTTCCGCGGCCGCGGCGCGGCGGCGCGGGGCGCCGTCCGCGGCGCCGGGGCGACGAAGGCCGCGCCCAGGCACAGGGCCGCGGCCAACAGCGCCGCAAGCTTCGCCATGGGGAAAAGATGAAGGGGCAAAACGGGCGCGGAGCAAAACCTCTGCGGGGTCAGACTGGTGACAGCTGGAAAAGAAGTGGTCAGATGTCCGCGTGACTGTGTGTTTGACCGTGCCGCACGACAAAAAGCGGGTACCGGGTACCCTCAACAAAACGGAACATGGGCCCAAGCAAGGCAGGCACGCCAGCAGCACTGCAAACACCTGGCGCAGGGTCCCTTCCAAGCTCTTTGGGTCAATATTGACATTCAACATGGTATGTGACCGGGGCCTGTGGCACTGCTCGTGCAACCAGCCAGATATCCATCATAAGTCAAGATAAATCTACTACTAGCAATGGCACAGGTCCGGGCTTCATAAAAACGAGCCTCGACTTGCGTTCGGGCGCGCCGCCGACCAAAATCTGCCACTACCCTTAGGGAAATGCCAAGGGGGGCTCGCTGAAGCCTCGAGGAAGTTCCTGAAGGCTTCATCCACCAAGATCCCCCGCAAATCCTGCGGGCGAGCAAATCATCACAGGCACGCAAACGCAAAGACACTGAGACGCAGAGGCGCATGAAACTTCGGAAGAGGTCCATCGACGACCTTCAGGCTCCCTCAATCTTTCAGTGGGGTGCTTTGCCACAACCATTCTTCTAGGTGAATGAATATGTTTCACCAGCCTGAAATCAGGTGGAGGGATATATTCCCACATCAACCACCATTTGGGGCGAATTCGGTCGTGTGAGGTCCTTATAAGTCACCCAGAAATTCTTAAGACTTCAGCTCGGCACCGACTCAGCTTGGCTCAGCTTGGCTCAGCTTGGCTCAGCGGCCTGCAGAAGCTGATCCAGAGGCACGCCTGGCCCGCTGAAGCGGACTCTTTGATTTCCAATTCTGTGTTGCAAAATGAAAAATTACTTCGCTTCGAGCAATCCCCACCCTCCACACTCACGAGCCTACGGCCGTGAACACGGTTGTGTGAATTCAAGCATGGTTTTCGAGTGGCTTGGGGCCTATGACTGCTCAACAAGCTTTGCATTGAGAGCCTTATCCACCTGTCTGTGTGTCAAACTCCACTTGTCTGCGAGCCGATCTCGGGAACTCAAACATCGGTTCCGTTAACAAAAGCCAAGCCCCTTCCAAAAAGAAACCCGACGGGGGATTAAACGAAGTTGCTTGTTCACAACCCAAAGCAACACAAAAGCACCACCCTTTCCGAGCCTCAGGGTACACTCAACACACGAAGGCACCAACATGAAATGTAAACCCAACTGTGCGCCGGGCGGGACTTTAAGCAAAACCAGACTGGCGAGCTGCTCTGGCGGGTACTGGCGGATCCACTGGGCGTGGTGTAGAAGCATCGCAAACGCGGATTCCAACATAAAATCTAACAACCCCTTCCTGTCGGGTGGGGGAAAAGCATCACCCTTTGGCCATGTTAAAAGATTCCAGTTTCCTGTTTCCCCTTCAAAGCTCACCCGTAGCTACCCTTGGGGCGAGAAACCTCACCTGCACCAAAAAGGCCTAGGTCCTCCAGTAGAGAGGTTAGAATAAGGGTACCCTTTTGTCCGTAGTCTATTTGAGGGGAACCAAGAAAGGGGTTAAAAGGGCACCTAGCTGGGGGACCTAGTTTAGCAAAGCTCAGGAATAAGAAGCTGCCCGCAACTTCGAATGCTGACTTCCCCCCTAAACCCACACTCCACCACAGCTGAGGTGCCAGGTGAAACAAATATAACACCTGCTCGAATGCTGACCTTCGGTGGAATCGGCTTGCAGCCTGCGATGTTTCTCATAAGGCACACGGAAAAAGATCGCCTTGTGCACACAGGCGTCCAATAGATGGCCCTCGTAAATGGCGATAAGCCCATCTAAATCAGGCCCATCTACTTCTAGCCCAAACTAACTGATCAAAAGGACATCTTGCCTGCGAGCTTCTCCTTGTGGGGGTCCTGTTTCTGTGAACATCTCATACATGGCGTTTGCCTCAAGGAGAGTTGCCGGCATCCTGACTCACCAGCCTTCGCCCTCGTCTGAACTCTGCCTGCGGGACCCTCTGCTCAAGGCTGTGGCTGGCTCACACTCTGTTTCAATACAATCCATGTCCCTTTGTTCGAAGGGAGGCACCATGGAAACAACAACTCGAAAGGCAAGGCCCTGACAGATCTAGCGCTTCTGCAACTGACGGTTCAAGAAGAAAGGGTCAATACGTGGCCCATGGTACCCAGGCTGAAATTAGCCAGCCCAATCTCGTGTGAACTTTGTTACATCCACGGGCCAAGCAAGTGAACTCTGGTGAATTTGTGTGCTCAAGAGAAAGCAATCGAGCGTCAGAGCGGAGATCATTTCAAAAGCAATGCCTTTAACGACTTGAACAAGACTCTTTGACAAACTGAAGCCAACACATGACATGGCAGGCAGGGCAGCCTACCATAAGAAAGGTACCCAACGCAACCAGCCGCTGCATTTTTGTCTCCAGGCCGTGATCCGCGATTTGTGAGTGATGCAGACCTGGCTGTAGAGACTGAACTAGGATCTTAGCAGGAAATATGGCCTATGGCTACTGTTTCAACCTTAAATCACAAATGACAAAGACGTCCTTTCGGGGAATTCTTGGCAGGTTATCTCTAGAGGTCCTGATGAGATCAAACAATTCCAGCAGTTTGAAGGAATCTAGTCACAGGTCCCAACGCATCAGACTGAACAGGACACGTCCTGGAACATGCACTATCTGGCGTCGCGAGTAGCGCGGCGAAGTTCGAATTAGCAGATGCCTTTGGCAATCATTCTAAACTATACTATAGCTACCACTTTGCACTTTCAGATCCCCCGAAGTCAGTTTGCGTGAGTGCGCTTTTTCTGAAAGAAATCTCGGGGGGTCCCGCTAAGCTGAAACGGCCAGGCGGCACACCCAGCCTTGTGGACGTGCTCGTGCAAAAAAAAGTGAGGAAAAAACCGCTGAGCCGACCCCAGCGGAGCCGATCTTTCATCGCCACTAGCTGCTGACCAAGTTCGCCTCAATGGCCATGTGCTCCTCGTGCTGGGTGATGACCTGGCAGCGGGCCAAGCTCAACCCCAAAGAGACCTCAGTAAGTTCAAATGTATCAGGCTGTGTCCATGCCACTTGGCCTGGTAAAGGAACCTTGAGCTCTTCCACATGCGCCAACATTCCTGAACACTCCTCACCGTCACGCTGCCCAAACCGTGGCTCCGAATCACACCCCGCTCCTGATCAAGGGGCCAAGGGGTCTATGACCGTGCCCACCAACCAAGAAAATGCGCGCGCATGTGTGTGTGTGTGTGGGCTTTGATGTAGGGCGCAGGGTGACGATTTGGGGAAACCACCACACCGATGATATGTCAACCACTAGATGGGCAAAGTTATCCATGGTCAAAACTGGGGGCCGAAGGGGATAGTGCTCACCCCCTGCGCTTTCACCATGGCAGAACTGCACGCTGTGTCGATGCCAGGAAACAAATCCGCCTGGCAAACTCCGAAACCGGGCCTTCGAGATCTTCACAGTGATGTTGAATGGATACCTGCCACGGAGGCTCTCCCCGAAGAACCTCGTCTTGTTTTGCATGAGCTCTTCCATCTCTTTGGGTTTGGGCCGGGTTACGCTCAGGAGTCGGCAAGAGTCCCTAAGCCCTGTTACTTGTTTTATCTATCTTATCGCTCGGATGCAATATGGCTATGGGTCAAAACCCCGTACCCCCAGTGAACATCCCAACCCCCACTAAAATAGACTAAAATGGGTGGTGCACCTACCCCAAAAAGGTACCATTGGTTTTGACCCTCAGCCATTTGGTGCAATGATATGATCTTGCCGCGGGGCACACCCTGAAGGTGTCTCCCCCCACATGCTTGAAGCGGGGCACTTCTTGTAAGATCGCGCCAGCTGAAGGCAGGAGTACCTCAGATCATGTTGGAATCACCATTGTTTTTCGTGGACTTTTCAGAACGGCCAAGACCCTTGTCCAAATCTACTTCTCAGACTGTCCATCAAAAGGCTAACTCTGATCAAGCTTTATTGGAAAATGCCCTATTTGTGTCTACACATTGACTCTGCTAAGTTTTCTTCTGCCACTCAACCAGCAAACCAATGCCGCCCTCAGCCCTCTGCCGACCTGCCAAGCCGTGATTGCCGAAGCCTCTATGGCAGCCAGCCAAGGAAAACATACTGTGGCCCTGGCTCAAACAAAAGGTACCCAAAGTGGCCCCTTGGTAAATGGAAACGAAGATCAAAACCTGCGTCACCCTGATCCTTTGAATTTGAACCGCACCCCTGTATCATACGGTTCTCAGAAGACCCAGTGGGGTTTGGACAAAGATGTGGTTGGGGGTCGTTAACGCCACGGCCCCCTTCCCCGGATCAATCCGAAGCCAACATTCACCAACCACTGGCAGCCGAGCATCGCATCCTGATCGCGCTCATTCAGCGCCAGTACACGACCGCACCAATATAGGCCATGAGCTGACAGGTACCTTCCAGTGCATCTTGCCACTCAAACCATGATCGGGGTTGCCCATGGCCCCACAATATTGAAAGAAGGCACAAGAAAACGATATTGTACCATTCAAGGCCGAGAGCCCCCCAAACCGCCGATATCCTAGTAATATAGTTTGTTTCGCGTGAAGCCATCATGAAGCCAAGCGCCAAAGAACTGTTGTTTGCAACACACGTCCTGCCGCTGGCTAAGAACACCACTAAAAGAACAGCAGCTTTCTCACAAAAGCAACACCACGCCCACCGCCTCTTCGAGACGGTGTGCCTTGCCAGTTAGCTCACCAGCCATGACTTGTGCAGCACATGAGACGCGAATAATCCCTTATTTACTTGCTTGGCAAATTCTTGCTGAAAGGCTACTTCACTTGTGAGTTCCTCAGTGAGGCTAGTTCGTTAGTTGAGCCAGGACAAGTAGGGTACTTATTGGGCTAGTCCGCCAGTTACTTGGGTAGTTGATCATGAGAATCATGTAACTTGCTGATGAGTTAGTTAGCTTGTCAGTGCAAGTCCTGCCACGAGCTTGAGCAGGCCAGCCAGCTGTTCAGCTAATGACTATATCAGGCGGTTCCTCGCCGAGCTAGTTTGGCTTTTAGGCAGCTAGGTACTATGCTAGCAAAGCTAGTTGGCTTGCGGATGGTTCATCAACAGGTCAGCTATCAGCTATAGTTCCTTTTGGGACATGCTAGAGCTATTGTCCATTCTGGGGCTGATTAATTATGGATTTATAAGCAAGCTGTGGTGAATTCCTTTGTTAGCCGGGCAGCTGCGCCTAACCGCACAAATCCTAGCACGTTTCAAGAAGTATACATCGCGCCACATCAAACTCACCTCATTGTGTTCTCCTCACTGCCCCACGCGCAGGCAAAGCAAATGTGGGTTGGTTAGTCAGTCCGTTAGCTATTGAATTTGCTTTCTAGCCGGTCAACAGTTTCGCCAAATACCACCATTTGTTGGTCAAACAATTGATCAGTTTGCCGCTGCAGTTACAACCAAGGCTAAAAGCAAGTCCATTAGTGCTCACTTTTGAATCACTGATTAAACTCAAGCATTGTGTCACGGAATGCGCATGCACTAGTTATCGGCCAGCGCGCTTGGTGCGTTCCAAGTTAGTCCTTTTGGCCATCCGCTTAACAGGGATCCTTACATTATACACCTGCCTTGTAAATTGTGGTTTCCTTTATTTTGGTGGAAAACGCAATGTTTTAAATGGGCAACATGTATCTTTTAAGGAGCCCTGCTTACTTACGCTTCTTGGGCAGGGGCCGTTTCATGGCCCGCCATGCCAAAGAGTTCACCGCTCGCAGGCTGACGCGCACGCGCTTCGCCCGCTGAGCCCGTTTGCCGGGGGTGCGGGTTGAAACGAAGCGGCCCAACCTCTATGCGCCATGCTTTCTTGCCTCCCACTCGTGGTGTGTTCTATTCTGTCAAGGGCCAGTGGAACGGAGGCTGGTTACTACTCCTTGGTACTGTTCACATTGTCCTGGCATGTCTCGGTTGACTGCCTCGTTGTTTGCTGGCAGCTTGCACACAAGCAGAAGCATACGCACCCTAGCGGGTCAACCCGGCGTGTCGACTTGTAGGCTTTGGTTGGGCACCATGTTGTGCAAGTGCCTCTTTGAACACGTGAAACCTAAGCATGCTACACAGGGAGCTCAACAATGCCAACAAACCGTTGCTAAGTAATCCACATTTGCCACTCCTTTGCTTTTCACCAGGTGGCATTGAAGCATCCCATTTGCCGAATGTGTCCCGAAAGCCGTGCAAGGCATGGGGGGGCCCGTTGTCGGGGCTCTTCGGAGAAGAAGCTGCAGGAACATTGCCAATTCTGGTGAATTCCCTTGAGTCAAACCCATCTTCTACGCTTCTAGCCACGGCATGGTGCTAAAAAGTGAGGCTACACGTGCAGAGCTTTCAGTTTGCACGGGGCCCGAGGCCTTTCTTCATGCGGGGCCTGACGGAAGCCAGCATCGCAACATGGACGTTCACACGTTCTGCGGCTTCCCCAACAGCTTTCGGACGGGTTCCACCCTGCGGTGCGAAAACCGGTGTTTGGATGCTTCCGGTGACTGTGGCTTAAGTTTCGCTTCGGCCCCTGGCTCAGTGTCTGGGGTGACCACGCGCGGAAAGATGATCATACTGCTGTGCAAGCAGCGTGGCCCAGGAAGGAAGCCGCGGACAGATCTCCGAGAGTTCGGGGACAAATACCATGGCCTCGGCAAACAAATTACCTGCCCATACAAAAAAGAAAAAAGAAGAGAAGAACAAAAAACGCATAAAGGGTACCCTGAAACAAAACGACACCCACGTGTCAAAGGGAATCCCCAAAGAACTGTGGGTCTTCCTTTTGAGAACCCTGAATCATACCCGCCATACCCAAACCCAGTGGATTCCAGGCAAGCCACTACAACATTTTCCATTTGGCCTTTGAAGGGTGGTTCCCTTGGTGCCTACTACTCACTTGCCCAAAGGAGTTGGAAATGAAAGGTTAAACTTTTTAGCACCTCTACTAAAAATGGACAAAAATGGGAAAACCAAAAGGTCAAAAGGTTGGCTTTGGGCAACTAAGACTATGCAGGTAAATGGAAGCACTGGGAAATGTGCGTCTCAAAGGGCAAAATCCATGCATGAAAGCCTAATCTTCCTGGTGCGATAGGTAGGGAATGGCTCAGGGTTTTGGGAATGAACGCAGGGCTCCCGAATAAAGGTCCCCGAAAAACCAACCCAAAAGGGGTATCCTGCAAAACAAAATGACACCCTTATGCCAAAGGAAAACCTTAAAGAAATGTCGGTGTTTCTTTTGGGTTTCAAAATTGGGACCCGGACCCCCCCCTGGTTAGTTCCCTTCTGGGAAACCCCTTTAAACCAACCTAAAAACAACACACCCTTTTAGTCTCCCTGTAATTGTGCTTTTTCTTCTGGCAGCACTGCAGCACTGCATTCAGCTCAAGCGCACCGCTCGTAGGCAGCTTGTGAATGCCGGCCATCTGATTCCTTGAGCGCTTTACAAATGCTCTTGCACCTACCGACCCCGCGATGCCTTCGCAGTGCTTGTGCAACCACATGATTGCCTGTACACGTCCATGGGCCTGTACATGTTCCTCTGAGGGAACCATTGCCACGGGCTGGAAATGTGCAACCAGATTCCAGATGCAAAATGGCAAAAAACGTGCAAGTGGCTACAAAGCATCTGCATGTTGGCAGACGTTTGCCGTCAACGTTACCGCTCACTTGCACACACCCGAAGGCGCTTTGACCTTCTTGGTCGGCCGAGGGAAGGCTTTGCGGCGACCATCCTTGAAAATCACAGGCTTGTACTCCTCAGGAACACTCTTGTGCATGACGGGGCTGTTTCGGTACCGATCCACGTGAGACTTGAATCCTTGGTGGGGACCACTCCAGCTCACTTGGCAGACCTTGCTCGTTGGCATCGACCATTCGGAGAACCCATCCAGCGCCTTCCACGCAGCATCTACTGCAGCACTGTCTACCATGTTCACAAAGGCATAGCCAAGGTTTGCTGCACGGTGGAAGTCGCAGGGCAGATACACAAAGTCGTAGCGCCCTGCTAGACCTTGCTCATCAAGCAAAGTCAGAAGCATCTCGCGAGTGTAGTTGTTGGGCAAATTGCGCAGCATCACGGTGGTCCTCTCGGTTGTCGCACTGTGCCTGGGGGCGTCTTGCCGGGCATCTCTGGGTTTGCTCTTAGGCTCAACCACAACCTTGCCCTGAGCTTCCTGCGTTGCCTCATCGGCAGTTCGGCTTCGAGCTTCATCTTGCAGGTCGCTGAACTTGCCCGGCTCGTACACTTCCGGCGCCACCAAGACTCCTGCCAGAACGCTATCAGTCATGACCCGCCGGAGCTTCCTGTAACAGACAGCCATGCTTTCATCATCAAAGTCAATGAATGTACTCCTCACCACAACGTTGCGAGAGCACGTCTCCTCAACTTCCTCGTGCAGTGGCTCAGTCGTATCACTGGAGCGCGGGGACAAGGATTCGGGGGACCTGCTCCCTTCAACGGTTTCAGCATCGCTGGGCTCCGCCGTGCTCTCTACGTCACTGTGGCTCAACTTGCCCATCTCCACGAAAACAGAAACCATGGCAGCGGTGCTGAACACAGTGCTAAGCTTCTCCCACACTCTGAGCCCGGCTGGTTTGCCATTGGTCTCCCTGTATGCCAACCTGAAAAAGCGGCGTCTCCACAAAACCACATCCATATGTCCCCTTTGAACAACTACCAAAAGGAAACTCACTTTATGAGAATGCCACTATTTTTAAAAGGGGACATGTAGAGAACACTGCTAAAAGCTTTCCGGAGGAGGGACTATCCCTGGATAAGCCTAGAAGCCACTAATTGGAGATCCCCCAAAGACATGGCGATGTCTTTTTGAGGACACCCAAATCCAGGTTAGAGTCAAACCCACCAAACCATTTTGACCCCCCAAACCAGTTGATTGGTGAGCCTTTACTTCCTTAAGGCTCTCTCACCGTGAGCAAACAAGTTGAGTTGTTTTCTTTTTCTTAATGCAGCTGCCCACCCAAAGATTTGTTCAGAACCCACGAAAGAGAGCAAAGCCCAAAAACTTCGAAAAGAGCAGTAAAGACCTGGAAACTCACAGAATACGAGCTCTCCAAACCCTCAAACCGTGGTCCTGAGGGGGGGGGTCAAATATTGGACCGTGGTGTCGCCACAGGTGGCAGGGGCAACCAAAAAGACCCGGCCCGAAATGTTGACAACCCAAACCAAATAAAATGATGAAGACGTTTAACGTTTGTCAAGTCAGCGAACAGGTGGCAAAAACCGAACAAACCAATTCAAGGTCGACAAGTGTCTGCAGGTATTCTGGTTGGCTCTCACGTTAGACGCAACATAGATACCTGTTTGCAGGTTGTTTCTCACCCACAGTAAGCGGAGCCAACAACCGTAAACCAGCTTGGCAAAACGGAAAGCTGCGGGGCAAACGACGGCGGTGATGTGATCTGAGATGATGATAATAATGCTGACGATGGCAATGATGGTCCTGATGATGGGCATGATGTTGGTTGGTCAGTGATGGATATACATGTGTTGGATCCAGTAAGGATAGTGGCGGAAAAAAACGCTCAGACCACAGCTGGCAATAACGAATGGGGCGCAACAATCGCAATCGTGGCAGCTAAATGATAACCATATCCCTGCAGTCAGCAGTAGTGGCAAAAGCGGCTGTTTGCCAGACCTGCTGACTGCCAAACATGCGGTCACAGTCACGGATGCAGGTTCAGGGTGATGGCCCATAAACTTGGAGCACTGGTTCTGTTGGGAAAATCTGGAAATTCCGGGCGAAGCGGCAGCAGCAGCATCGCCCAAGTAGAAGCAAATCACCTCAGATCTTCCGTCTGCATCTTGTTGTGAAAGGACCCCATCCACAAGCTCCAAGTGAACTTCCCAGACACATTCAAACATCCTTGGGGGGGCTCTGACCAACGCCCTCTTGGAATTTCTGAAAATAAGCACACTTTGTCGTTCCCGCTACCACTGTACATGGTGCTGCCTCCTGACTGGTGAACCTGACTGCCGCCGCAGCTTTCGCGCCAAATTCCATGCCAAGCAGCCACTTGGATTGTCAAAGCGCTGGCCAACTCCACAAGTGAGCTGCCCTCTGTGTCTTCACCTCAAATCGATTCCGGCGAGTATAGTTTGGGGGAATCGGCATGCAAGCTCTTGTCAAAACGTGGCTACGCCGTCCGCCTTAATTCTTTCAGGAACCCTGTGCTTCTTTGAAGCAAAAGGCCGCTATGCTTGCAGGTCTGTAATAGCTATCGCCGTCTTCATGATCTACATTGTGTTTGTATCGGTTTGGCAAATCTTGCTATATACCCCTTCTGGGGGATGCAGCAGGGCCACCTGGTGTTGCGAGATGGTGCTTGGATGATGTAATTATCCGGCTTCAACTTTGTGATGATGCCGCAAGCCATGGGGCCAATGGGCCAATCAGGCTGCATATTATGCATGGGCAACTCATGACCCCCTCCAAACCTATGATAAAAGGCCACGGCCCGAAAAGAAAGAAGGAGCCATCAGGTGGCTCGTCCCCCAATCAAGCTCCTGCCCAAGCTACCCGGAGTCTCCTTCTCCTGACACTCCATGTTTAAAGGCTCAAAGGGAGACTTCTGGTAGACCAAAACCCAGTTACTTGATTCGCTCAGGGCAATCTCAGCGCTTCTCACGCAGAAAAAAAAGAAGTTCAGACCATGGGGCACTGAACAGACTCAAAGGCTTTGTATGGCCCCATGCATGGGCATGTGCGCTCCGAGGGTACGCCTTTGCATGGTCCGAAAGGAAAACCATGGAATCAAAAGGGTTTAATTACATTGTGCAGGCACTTCATGACAAACTATTGCTCAACCCTAAACCTTCGATTTGAGAGTGGTCTTAGTCTTCGCACATCAATTTGTTGAAGCCTGAAACAAGAAGTCCTACCCATTGAGGGTCTGTGCCCACTGAAGGCGGCAAGGAGAAGCAACAAATAAAGCCCGCAAAGGGCATAACAAACAAAAGGAACGACACCCGTAGCTCTGGCCGTTTATGCTATGAACTTACAAGTTCACTTGTGTTCTGCTTGACTTCAAAGCAGACCCCCCACCCCCACAGTCTGGGGCTTCCGGCTCGACTCGCTGACCGGTGGCATCACCTTCTGGACCTGGCGCCATGGAAGTCACTCGACCTGTTTGAGTCTGGCGCAAAGATCGCCTCTGAAAATGGACAGCTAGAGTGCCGGATAGGCATGAGCAAGATCATTCCAATAGGGGTTAGTAGATAGAGTTTAGGCATGAGCAAGATCATAATAGGGGTTCTCAATAGAGCTCACTTAGATTAAATGTGTCCAACATCCTTCTTCAGGTAGGAAGGCGCTTCTAGACTCAGACTTGGCCCCACCAAACAACCTACCAGGGAGCCCCCTTAACACGGTCTTCCAGAACCCCTGTCAGGTTACATGCTTATTGGTGGGAGGGTGTGTTTGTCTACCTTCCCCATTCTTTCCAGGGATCCTTCTTTTCAGGAAACCATCAAAACCCAGGGGAAAAAGCCGGTTGTTGAAAAGAACGACGGCTGAAAAGAATGGAAAAGGAATCAACCCCCAGAGTTTAGGCAAGTGCCGGCAAGCCTAAGGCACGGCCTTGTGACGCTCTGGGGCCGCTGCAGTGTCCTTGATCGCGAGAAGCATGTGCCTCGGAACCTGCCATGCTTGCCATGCTTGTGCATGGCCGTGCTTGCATACTGACCAAAATAAACAATGACACATTTCAAGGTGTCACATGCCACCACAAAGATTCGCAAAGAACAACCATCTCCAATGTGGGCAGGGCTGTCGGACTTTTGGGGGGCTACGGCCCACGCTTCAGAAAGCCTTGGGTTGCAAAGACCTTTCCAATCGCAGGTGCACAGCTCAACAGGCTCCGCAATCTCCAAGAAACTTAAAGACTCGATTTTAGACCAGTGACCACCAACTTCTTGGTCCATGCGTGTTCGATCTACGTCCAAGTCGTGAGGAAAATTTTCGCGGCGCCTTCGGGAACTGCCGCAAGAAGTACATCACCTCGAAGGCCAGCATCCGGCGCCTCGATGCGAGGCCACGTCTCCAATGCAGTCTCCCAGGTGTTGTATTGTTTTTGGCATTTTTTGGGAGCAATGAGCCAGTCTCCCAGGTGTTTTTTTTTTTTGGGGGGGGGGGGAGCAAGAAATCCTAGCTGCACTCAACTTGTTTTTTGTTTGAGATCCACGTACCTGCACAAACGCATCAACCGAAGGCGTTCACAAACAATCTCAAAGCGGTCCCCGGTTTCCTCCAAAAAGGGTCAGTTGAAACTCGAGCTTGGAAACTGCGGCTCTGATACTGGGTTGAACAGGCACAAGCAAGAGACAAACACATGTAGGGCGTCTTTCAACTTATTTCAGGCACCGTGATCTTGACAGCACCACCCTTCAAGCCAAACATGTGCATCGACCACTTGAGGAAGAAAAAAAACACGCGCAGCAAGGCTCCGCTTGAGGGAGAACTCACGCAGGCTCCGTAAGCATCCGTAAGCACGTGCTGCCAAGGCGCCCATGCCGACGCCGTTTCAGAAAGATCTGCATAACCTTCGCCTTGGCTGCAAGCGGTCAAGCAATCGATCCAAGCTAGCAAGCTGGGGCTGGATAGCAAGTGATGCCGGCAAGTCCATCGATGGATCTTCTTGGGCGCTGGTATGGAGCCTTGGGCTAGTAGAATAGCATCCTTCCTTCAAGCTTGGACGGGAGACTTGGAAAGGGAAAACAGGTTGGGAGGACCAAAGGCTAATTGACGCCGCTTTGGGAAGAGTGTCCTGATGTGAGAGAACTGGTTTCACCACCAGCAAAGTTGGAGTCTCTTTTGTGCTTCCGGGGTGCTGCTTGCCATGGAAACTCCTGAGGATAACGGCAGCTAACAACTGTTAAGCACAAACAGGCCATTGTGTAGCGGCGTAGAGGGCCACCAAAAAAGAAACATTTCTACGCATTGAAGTGGCATTCGTCAAACTCGGCTGGCCTTCGTTTCAGGCGAGCCAACCAAAAGCATCACGTAATCTGGCAAATGCACGCAAACGGAAATCGACCTTGAAAGGCACACATGAATCTGCACCACAGCCTGTTTACAAAACACTATTTGATGCCTCCCTCAAATAACAAAACACTATTTGATGCCTCCCTCAAATTGAATGTGGACAGGCCCATCAATGAGTCAACCATGGACTCATTTCAGACTCGGTAAACCCAAGCCACGAAGTCCGTCTCCAGCTTCAGCAGGCCGCTCCAGTCCTGGACCGCCGCGCACTCCTGGACCGTCAGAAGCAAAACCCTCCCCCAGCCCTAAGGGCGGCGTCCAAAGCCAGGGGTGTGCAGCGAAACCCAACATGGATCATGTGTTATGTCATTCCCCGCGCACCTTTTCCAACGCCTGGGCAGCTCGCAGCTGAGGGCAGCTCTATTGATACATGGTTTCGGCTGCACACAAGTACAAGTGTGAACTGGGGGTGCTCCGCAAGGAGTAGCGTACCCGGCCTGAAACTGAAAGGTATCGAGGGCGCGGGGACCCTTTTGCAAACCCTTGGAGCTTGGCTGTATGAATGCGTCCCATCGGTGTGCTACCCTCGACTCACAGTGAGGTTACATGAGGTTACGAAAGGTCAAAACTGGCCCCGGGAGGGGATCTTTCGCACATGGGACTTTGAAGGGACAGTCGGCTCACGGACTGTCCGAGCCTTGCAAAGGCTCTCCCCGTGCTCTTGCTGCCCCATACTGAAGGCCACAGCAGCCAACCTAGGAGGGAGGCTACCTAAAACAAAACGATCCAGTATCTATCTCGATGTATATATACACATATGCTCATAGATATGTGTATATAAATATACCTGCCAAACGATCACAAATTTCCGCTCGAGGGGAAAAGTGCCCGTTTCTCCCACAAGCGCTCGTTTTGGAGGCGCCAAACCTCTCACAACCCCATCAAGCGTGCCTCAATATGTGTGCACAGTGGACAGCGCATCTTCATTTTCGAGCACCTGGACATCTTTGCGCGCTTTTGGTCGAGGGACAACGGACCCCCTGACACTTTTTAGAATTGCGCTCGAGGTTGCGGGTTGCAAACTGACCCCAAAATGCCAAAACGCGTCAAGCATGTGCAGGTTTGTTAGGTTTCCACTAAACACGCATTCCTGACGGCCCAAGATCTTAACCGGGCAATGCGTCTTCAGCATCTGACGCAAGAGTCATACCCCCCTCCCCAGCGGGCACAATGCATTATGTATACATATACACACACATATATATATATATATACATATACATAATATATATATATGTATACATATAGTAGAGTCTGTATGCGCAAAGTGTTGCATGCATCCCGGGCACCACGCGTAGCAAAAGGCACATTTCTAAAAACAGCCTGCAAAGCAGGAACAGCGAGACCCATCGGCTTTAGTAGCAGGCCAGCTGTTCTGCAATTTACGAGAGGCCAGCCTGCTAAGATGCTGCAAAGGCGCTGGGTCGTGACCAGGGTGCTGTAGGGAAAAAACACCTTGCAGCTGCGCTTGTCTGTTGGGTTCCAAAACTCCAGCACTGTCGCAGCCCCAAACTCGCTCGCTTCCTCCGCTCTAGACCAAGAAATCGCCCTAAAGCTCCTGGGATTCTGACATCAGCAAGCATGAGCGACGGCTGCGGCTCGCGCACACACACACACACCCACACCCGGCCTTGTCCGAATTCACTGAAGCGTAGACGCAATTCAAATGCTCGTGGGCTTTGTGCCATTCCATCTCGATGAAGTGAAACATTCCCAGCTCATATCCTCGACTCCGCTGAAAAAAGAGAGAGAGAGAGAGAGAGAGAGAGACACAAACACATGCCATCAGTGCTGCTTGGCAAGGAATAAAGCACAGAGCTGTTGCTTCAGGGATGCGTCACCTCCATTTGCTTAAGTCCCCTGGAAAAAAAACATACAGATTTTCTAGTAGTGATAGATTCCAAAGGGAAATAACAACAATTATTATCCAAATGGAAGATCAGTAGGCTTGCGGATTTCAGTGCGGCCAAGGTTCTAAGATATATCGCCTTTTCCCCCAGTTCCTGGCGTATGCTGGCCGGGTCAGCACACCCCGTGCAGTGGCAATCCCTGGGCACCACGTTGCTGGATCTGTGGGAGCTTCACTTTTGGAGGGCCGGGTGTAGTTGGGCTGTTCTAAATGGAGGGCTGGCGAATACTAATCCATAACCCCAATTCAGAAACAACTTCAGAGGGACCCTTTGGTAATCCGATCTTGCGGATTTCCTGAGTGAACAGGGCCAATTTGCTGGGGTGCTGCGTGTGACCCGGCCTCCCCACAGCACCAGAGCGCTTTGCCAGTGATGGACACAGCCTGGCTCGGTTCTGGAAGAGTCCAGCCAATGAGAGTGGCCTACCTGCTGCTCATAATTTTTCGTTCCAGAATGTCCTTTCAGATTCCCACGCGAGGATTGAGGATTCGATGCAAAGATTCCTTGCCAGAGATTCGTCATCCACCTAGCCCGCAGGACTCATTGACGGCAAATAAGTCCGCGAGCAATGGCAAAAGCAAGCACATGTAAACGCACGGATTAATTACGGGGCAAAGCGTTGGCTTTGCACACTTCTTGGACTTGCGCCCGAGTTGCGGGTTCGTTTTCTCTCGGCCACTTCAACACAGCAGCTAGGCAACCTCGAACGTGCTCGAATTGGATGTGAGCAAAAGGAAAACACGCTCGACCGCCAAGAGCTGTCCGGAGCGCAACTGGTGCGTATCAAAGGGTCCTCCAGCTGCAACATCCCCACAGACCGGGGCAAGCCGGGATCTATCCTGGACCCCCAAGTTCGCCTATGTGCAGGCCGGTCACACATACGTACTGTACCCCTTCCATGAGCCTGTGCTCCGGTCCGGCCGTTGTCAAATATGCGGTTGAAATAGGTCAACCTGTGGACGGCTCAGGTATTTCGGGGGCTACGAGCACCTTTGAATGCTGCTGGGATGGCCTCCGACAACTTACTGTTTCAACACAACGCGCCGAAGAAATCATGCTTTAAGCTGCACGCCTTTGGAAGACCCCTTGGCCCCGTCAGTCAATCCGAATGCCTGCGACATGAAGGTGTTTCGCCAGGCCAGCAAGGAGCCTGGCGTGCAAAACGCTCCGAAGCTCGGAAGGATGCTGTCGGAGTTAAAGGTTGGCTTGGGGGGTTTCCCAGCAGGCCGCGTCAAACCAAGCCATCTTTGGTGCCAGCTATGACAGCATACAACTTCCTGCAAGCTTGCTGGCCCTTGCGCCCTCCACTTCTTTAAGACAATCCCCACTGCGAAGCAGCCTTCATCAAACCCTGACCCTCCCATCTGAGTTTAAGATTTTGGCTTTGAGGCTTGACTGATGCTGGCACTTCGCCCAAAAAGGAGGGGAAAGAGGAGGGAAGCTTGTGCGCTTCTTGTTCGGGGGGGGGTTTAGGTGAATTGCACTTCTCTGCTTCTTGGAGGGCGTGCAAGTGGTCGCACATACTTCTATGTGGATGGGCATATATATATATATATGGTACGCCCCCCTCTGGTGCCTAGGTGTTGCTTGATTTCAGTCATTTGTTTCAGGGAATTTTGCATTTCTTTGGCCAAACTTGGGCACCAAGGAAGGGGGCCGTGCCACAATTCTACAATTGAGAATTCTCGACCCAAGATTGCTGGGAGACGTTCAATGTGACAATCTGGAATTCAAGACTCGAATCTCATATTTGTCTATTCTTAAATCTGGGAGTCAAGATTCAAGACTTCAAAATAGTCTTTTTCTGGGAATCTTGAATTTTGAATCCCATAATTTTTAGGTGTTCAATAAGATTCTCGGAAAAGCTTTCCGTGAAACATTTCAATCTTGAATCTTCAACCCAGTGGTAAAATACGTTCGAAATCTTAGAACAACTTGATCATTTTTAGGGTTTGACCAGCATGGATGATTATCAGGAAAGTTGTTGTTTGTGCAATGCTCGGTATTGAATCCTCAATCCAGTGGTAAAGCACTTTCAAGTGTGAGAAGAACTTGAATGTGAATGTTGTTTGGGTTTGGTCAGGATTCACAAGTCTCAGGAAAGTGTTCTGTGTAATCTTCAATCTTGACTTTTTTCCATCCACTGGTAAAATACTTTCAAGTGCTTTGCGATGCACTGGAAGCACTTTCAAGTTATTAGTTAGACAAACTTTCAACTGCTTTTGGTGAGCGGTTTGCTTCATGTTAGCTATAAAGCATGTTGACCCTTTTCCAGGAGGTAAACACAGGTGGGTGTAATGCTCAACAACACTGTGTTGTACAGTATTTTATTAAGAGGCGCAGGATTATTAGGGGTACCATATGTGTATGTATATATATATGCATATGTATGTATACATATGTATGTATGTTCACACACCGTCACCCCCCCCTCTTGAATTACCTCTCCACATTTGCTCATCTACTACCTCCGCCTTTTGAGATAGAATTAATTCTGTTTTCCTGTGCAAATAGAACTTTAAATACAACTGATTCAGCTAGAATCCCTGTTTCGAAATAGTTTTACAATTTGAACCTCTCCTCCCTTGAAATTTCCTTTTGGAACACTGTCTAACAAGTTTAATTTCGGACTTTTCTTATGCTGCAAAAGGACCAGGATATAAATAACACAAATCGTATTTCGAATTTCCTTGTAGAGGTCCCTTAAATGTTTCGCCATATCTAATACGAACTAAATTTGAGAAGTAGCCTCTATTATGTTACTATTAAAAGCTAATTAAGTTGTGTTCGTATTAGTTTGTGTCTAACACTTAGGTTATATTTGGGAATAAACTCCTAACTTGTAACCTCATGTGGCTCCTATTTGGAAAGCGGTTGCTTATATAAGATGCAGTTGACCAATGTTGAGCATAAAGACATTTTTGAAAAGTATATCCTAACCAAAATATATTCACAATTCCAATTCTAGTTGAAGTAAACTCCTATTTGGAAAGGGAATCATATTGGGACATTTCGGATCTTGCCATGATGGACTGCAAGCCCATTCGTCTGCGCTTAAAATCTATTGCACAAATCTAAACTCTACAGCCTGCGCGCTGAAATCAAGCAAAACCTAGGCACCAGCAAGAGGGCATATATATATATACATAGGTATTTGTATATGTGGGGTGTCTTTTTTTGAGGTTATCCCTTTTTTGGTGGTTTTAGAGGGGATCCAGCCAGTTTGGGGTCCAAAGACACACCCGTGCGATGTGGATATCTGCTCCACACGTTCCCAACTACACCATGACAGGTACTGGGAACAACTCAAATAAGGTACCTCATCAGCTCAACACCTGATTCAGATTATCAATATCTTCGAGCTGCTTCGCTACAGGCTGGCCGTTGCAGTCAATTGCACCAAACAAACGCAATCGCATTTGCACAGTCAGTGCTCATAAACGGTGGCAATGCATCATTCAACACTGCCACTGTACAACCTGCCCGTGTCCGAAGTCGTGCAAAATCAGTGGCAGCTGCTGCCGGGGTCCATATCGTGTATCACCGACACATGGCATCATTTGAGGAAAAGTTCTTCAACTCTTCAAAAGGTCCCACAACTGCAATGTTTGATCTTCAAAAAAGGGAGAACATATTCCGAGCCCACCTCCCTGCCTGCCCAGTGCAGTAGAGCATTCTCTGGCTGCCGCCCCAGGCTTGCGATCAGAATGTTGCCCGCGTGCTTCATGTCCTTAGCCCCAAACAAAATGTGTGAGGCTGGAATTTGGACCCCAGCCAAAAACAAAAACAAAACTGGTTAGTGGAAAACAAAGGGAACCAAAAAAAAGTGGCATGATCTTGCCGCATCTCCAACCCCAACCCTTTGGCTCCAACGTATCTCTCTGCCCCTTTTCTTGGCGCATCTCAGCGCGCTTCCGGCGCCAGCGGCTGCCGGCCACGGCCAAAGGTCACTCTGCATGTGTGTCCTCTAGGTTTCTCGTGGGCCCGTCATGCAGATATTTTTTGTGCTCTGCTCATTTACTTGACTACCAGCACCTCCACCTTGTCCTCGTTCTTGTAATCGCACTCGCCAACGACATCTCGCTTGCGGTCGAACTTCACATTGTTACATTGTGTGGCGTCCACCTTCACTTGCCCAGACAGCTTGTGCTTCGTGTGATCCCGGCAAATCTGTGCACACAAAAGCTTCTCCTCCGCAGTTGGCTCGTTGCATTCCAGAATGACATAGCAGCTGGGGTGGTCGGTCAAATGAAAAAACCAATGCCGCCCCTTGGCCCCGGCCAAGATGTTCCAGTTATCTTCTGCGTCTTGACCTACATGGACTCGACACCCGGCAACGCGAAGGTCGGATTTGCTCTTGCCACCACGGCCACTGTCGCTTTCCTTGCCCTCTTTGCACTCTTTAAGCTCTTTGTTCTCTTTGCCTTTCTTGCCCTCTCTGCCATAGCCTCCCTCTCTGCTGTCTTTGCCTCCTTACATGCTCCGGCTGACTTGGACAGGACGCCAACAATTGCTTCACGCACTGAAGCTTTACATCTTAGAGTGACAAGCCAGCCAGCTTGCAGGCGCTTGCTTGCTGCCAAGTTCTGTGTTGCAGTACTGGAGAACAAACGACCGACGCAAACGGAGACTTGCTGGACGCCACTGGGCTCAAGGCAACATAAACAGCGTCACCCCGGCTTCAAATGCGCAATCCCCCGTTTCCAAGACTTGCTTGATCAGACGGTAACTCACCCTGCCTCCCTTAGCATCCTTCTTCGCCGGCTGTGCTTCCACCAGTGGCAGCTGCTCCAGCCAGCCGGCGGGCAACTCCGAAGCCTGAAGGACGGCCCCTTGTCTTTCACCAGTTGCATTGCTGGGGAAAATGGATGGCACTGATACACGATCTGACTCAAGGATGAGCTCTGCTCCAGGATGTCATGACGTTTGCGCTCCATTGTTTGGCTGAAGCCCTTTCATGGTGCCGCAGGCGGAAGGGTGACGCTGAGCGCTTCTCAGGGGATTCCAGCTGACGCACGCGCATGGTGTTACCATCTGTCTAGCCATTAACGCTGCGCCACGAAGGCGGCAAAAAGACACAAAGGCGGCAAAAAGAAAGCGGCACAATGCCCCCGATAGTTGCCTGCAGTGTGGTTGGGAAGCACCGCGCGCCTTCATGTTGACACTGTTTCACGAGCAGTGGTCAGACCGCGCTCACATTCTGCTGGATGACATCGAGAAACATGTCGCTTCTGGCAAGCCATCTTTCTCAAATTTTGGGATTCGTCTTTCATACGTCTGAGGCCAAACTGGGGGACCTCTCAGGGCTGAGCACCTTGCATTCGGCACACGCAGATCCCGAAATTTGGCCTACATTGGGCAACAAACTGGCCCAACAACGTTTGCCTGCAAATCGATACAGTCAGGGGCCCTCTTGTCCAATAATTAGATTGTCGGTCACCTACCTTCTGAGGCACCAAATTGTCATAGCACCCGCCCTTGCATCCCAAGCCCAAGCCCAGCCTTCACCTCTTTCACCTCGCAGGCCTCCCGCGTGCACGAGAACAGACCCTCCCGTGTGGACCACGCTGGCCGATGTGCAAAACCCAACTTGAGACGCAACGTTTTGCAGAGAGTGCGCAACCTTTTGGAGTGCAAAACTTGAGGGAGACTGCATCACGGGGCATGTTTCGCCCATCACCTTCACGCCCACGGAAATTCATTTCGGGCGACCGGCCTTTAGATGCTTGACAAAGGTGTTCCCCACCCAACCAACTGGAGGCCTTGACAAAACGCATCATGAGAACATCTGCAAGCCTACCTGGACATCATGAACACATTACTAGCTTTTGTGCTCAGCTGGGAATGAACCATAGTGAACCTGGGGATTCCCTTGAAGAAAACCAAATCGGATGGGTTTCAATCGGGGCCTCCGGGTGCCCCTTCTCGTTGATCCGGACGCTGAACCGCACGAAGACCTCCCGCCGCTTCGCGGCCTCTGGGCCACAGCTGCTGGCAATGCGGCTCAAAGTAAGCTCCTCCACGTCTTCCTGGCGCGACGCCGGAAAAGTGGCACTGCCGGGTGCTCAAGAGCAAAAGGGCCCAACGTCAGACTCCACCCCTCAAAAAAGTCGAGATCATGGCCAGCACAAAGCAGGCCAGCACGCCAGCACGCACGCACAAACGTGCGCAAGCAGGCCCGACACACGGCACACCCACCGACTTCCACACTTCCTCCCCTTCCTCCCTCCTTTGCTCCATTCCCCTCCCGCTCTCTCTCGCTCACTCACTCACTCACTCACCCACTCACCCTCCCTCCCCTGATTTCCGAAACATGGCTCCTTGCGCATGAAGACATCCCGTCCATGCGCAGCCTGGACCTCTGGGCACTCCAGAAATCCAAAGCCCCGCGCGAAGTTGTAGCTCTTCGCCCGGCCGAAGTAGCTCTCAGCTCCCGCAACTTCCGGTTCCGGCGGTTCCGCAGCTTCCGGTTCCGTCGGCTCCGCCATGGCGGATGGCTTTCTTTCTTTCCCCCTGGGGGGTAAGGGTTCTCCAATTCAACTTTGCTTGTTTATACTCCGTCCCGCCAAATGGAAGAACACAGCTAGAAGTAGAATTCAATGGGCATCCAATTCAGCTTTTGGTTTTTTGACTGGGAGCGGCTTGGCAAGGGCTGGGATTCAGTTGCGTGCTTCCAGTTTGCAGCAGCCCGGAACCTTTCTGCTGTCCATTCAGCCCATGTCTTGCGGGCAACGGCCCTTGCATGTGCCTACGTTTGGCTTCACTCAGCCGCTAAGCCAAGTCGCGGACCCAGGTGACAACTGCACACAAATATGCCGGTGCTTTCTGAGACATGTCCAAAGCATGGGCAGAATAGGCCCATAAATCGCAACAACAGCTACAAACACATTGCCAGGAACACTTGCACGCATGCTGCAAACAACTTGCCCTCCCCTGGCTGGCTGCCTGCCATCAACATCATTGTGGAGCCAATGCAATGAGGCCACAAGTGCCTCACTGAAACAAACAACTATTTTGTAGCTCCCTTAATCCTTCAGCTTCCCAAACGACGGGGCTGCGCACAGGGTCCGCACGCTGGTTGGCCTACAAGTTGCGCTCAAAGCAAGTAACATCTGAGTCCGCCTCCCACTATGTCTTCTCTACCCACCACCCCCCCATCCTCCCCCCATAGGCTCAAGCTCCCCGAGCCCAGCGGCGGGTTCCAAGTCCAGGTGGTACATGGCCAGCAGAATGGCCGCCCCAGCGCTTCGGGAGCCCAAGTTCCCCTCGACGGCCTCGAAGAGGTAGGCCTTGCCCTTCTGCCGGTGCATCAGGAACCTGAGACCCCAATACAAAACCCACAGGCCACGAATGCAATGCCGGGGGCGGAAGACTTCAACGATGTGCTGAGTTTGTTTTTTTTCTTTTTCTTTAAACCCAAAAAAACTATATATATATATATATATATATGAATATACATATCTCGTTGATGACCGGCCGCTTCAATCAAACCGAATTGCGAAAGACAAACCAAACAGCGTTGCGCGACCTCCAGTGGTTGCCTAGACCCCCGGGGGGCAGGCCGGCCATCTCTTACTGCACAGCGACTTATCGGCTTTGCATCCTGGCGAGACGGCAGTATGCTACGTTCCTTGGATGCGACAGATTTAAAGGGAGGTACAACAGTAGCCCACGAGCCCATGTTTGAAAACCAGGTACTGGGTTTAGTCTATGACCTGCATTGATATGATAAACCTGTCAAACCAGGGTGGGTTTCTCCCAAAAGCGATTCGGATCACCTTTCAGCTCAACCCAGTCACATCCATCTACCCCAACCAAACTGGTGACAGAAAGCACATCTATGGATATGTCCCTTGAAACGTCACAACTCCAAAGAGCTCAGTCAACTATTGGCCTTGAAAAGGTGATGGTGTATCAACAAAGGGGGACTAATCTAACCCCAGGTATTGTTCGGAAAGGTAACTTGTGACTCTACAAACTGTCAAAGAGCGCAGTCAACATTTAGAAGGTGATGGTTTGGCAACCAAACGTTTGGACTAAGGAAACAATCCTTTGCTCAAAGTTTAACTTTTAGTGGGTCGAATTATTTGAACACCCCACCTAAATCTAAAAGGATCCAAAAAGCTAGGCACCGGATGATTCGCTGGGCGCCTTTCGAAACTTGGGTCCCTTTAAAAGGACAAAGGGTTCAAACCAACAGCTTCCCCCGAACGTCAGGGCCCATAGGAATGCTGACCCCATAGAAAAAAAAACCGGGTGGTTTTGGCCCCTCCAAAAGTGGTCTGATTCCCAAGGTCGGGGACACTGTTAATGCACTGGGGGTGATTAGTGCTTCGAATCCCATGGACAGGTAGCCCGGCCAGGCGCACCAGGGGCACCAGGGAGGCAGGTACCAAGGAGGCGGCCATGTAGAAGAAGCCCAAGCCGAACAAAATCCGCCCCCGCAGGTCCTCGTAGCTGCTCAGGCACGTCACCTCCTGCGAGCCTCAAACAAATCAAGAGGGAACCGGGAAGGAGTGAGCAATGGAGGCCGAAAAAAAAAACGAGACTCATCTTTTCGTATCTTGGATGTTGAAGACGGCCTCATCTAGAGATTTCTCTTTTCCCTGCTTCCCAATCCATCTTTTCATCTCTTTATTGCTTGGATTGGGATTTCTAGAGCTTATTTTATTTATCTTTGCTGATTGTATTTATCTTTGCTGTCAAGGATTAATCCCACCTACCTCCGCTCTCTCCTTTCGCTGCCTAAGGATTCGCTCCGCAGCGGGAAGGCGTAATCAAGGACAGTTTCTAGATGACAGCGACCAGCCAAGAAGAGAGAAATGGCTGGGAGATGGTTAACAGGCTATTCCTCATCTCTTCGTCATAGCGAAAGTCCTTAATCCTACCTCCCTTTACCCTCTCTCACTCCCTTTCACCTCTGGGTGCTCCCTTTCGAAGGGAGTTTGTTGTCGGATAGCAAAAAAATCCAGATTTGTTTCTACTTTGGGCTTCCTTTGGATTAAGGCCGGGAAGGAGTGGGATAGCATTTAATTTGTTCGGATGATTGCTTGAAGGACAGCTTCAAAGAAGTGTGCTTTTCACGGGGCGATGCCAAAACACAGGACAAACAACGCATACCTGCCGCTAATGACGGTATGAAAGACCCAAGTCGCAAGACTGGGGGGGGTTCATTGACTTGGTCGGTGAACAGTCGGAAGTGGCCACTCATTGCCTCCTAGCATTTGCCCAGCACAAAACGTGGCTTCACGGGGCAGTGGAAAGTCATCCAACAAATGTGGCTGTGGGTCAAAATTAAACCACCATGGGACCACAGGTTTAACCCATGTTTCCATTTACCAGGGTGCCCATTGTGGGTACATGTTCTTGACCCACTGCTATGTGTCATTGGACATTTGGCGGCACACGTTCACACTCAAAGCCAGCCCCATGTGATCACATGTTGCCATGCAGAACTTCCAACGAACAATGTTGCGCAATCAAACTAGAGGAGATGTTCCCACGACATGGCGAAAGTTGACATGAGAAGTGCATCGATCCAGAGAGTAGTCCAAATGCTCCCGCCTATGGGCCCACTTGATTTCTGCCCAAGTGCTCCGCAAAATGAGTCTGAGCTGCCTTTCAGCAAAGCCAAGTGCAGCACGGGCGCACTGCCGCAAGTGTTGGGGATCCAGAGAGGACTCCAGGCGATAGTAGGCGTACCAAGCCTGCCGCAGGTTGTACAAAGCCCGGAGCCTTAGCCCCAGCATGACCTGCAGGGTCGGGCTGGCTGTTGCACACCCGCGTCTATTGACAATCTGCTTGGTTGGCCATCATCCACGGGAAAAACGGAATCCTTTCTTGCTTGGTAATGTCGAGCAACAGGCAAAAGCCACAAAAGCCACAAAAGCCACGAGCAACAAGCAGGGGTGGATCCACAAAATCCACATCCAAACCGTTGCCTAGAGCAATGGAAAGTTGCTGAAGAAATGCATTATGAGAGGAACTTGCATCTCTCGGTACTTGTGCCCGTCGGCTAACTGGAGAACTAGCCGGTTTGCGAACTCACCTTCTAACTTAGTACTAGCTAGCTACTATACGTGCTGACCTAGCTCACTCGATCGATCGATCAAATCAAATCAAGTCAGAATCAAACCAGAATCAAATTCAATCCATCAAGCAATCTATCAATATGTCCCTCTGCCATTCTATCATAAGCCTTTGTCCATCTACCAATCTACCAATCAACCAATCAATCAATAAATAAATAAATCCAATCAGTTCAAACCATACCAAATCACACCAAAGAAAATCCATCAAGCAAATCAAATCAAATCGAATCAAAACAAACTACCAAATCAATTTAACACAAAACCAACCAAACCAACCAAACCAAAGCAAACCAAACCACCAACCAACCAACCAACCAACCAACCAACCAAGCAAGCAAGCAAGCCAGCCAGCCAGCCAGCCAGCCAGCCAACCAACCAACCAAGCAAGAAATCAATACATCAATCGATCATACAACCTGCATAATCGTGACATAACCTATCGTACTGACATGACTCGACTAGATTCAGAGTCACCCGACAACTCGTTGACGCTTATAAGTGTCGTGTGTGGGCTGGTTGGCTGGCTGGCTGGCTGGCTGGCTGGCTGGCTGGCTGGCTGGCTGGTTGGCGGGTTGGCGGGTTGGTTGGTTGGTTGGTTGGTTGGTTGGTTGGTTGGTTGGTTGGTTGGTTGGTTGGTTGGTTGGTTGGTTGGTTGGGTTGGTTGGTTTGGTTGGTTGGTTGGTTGGTTGGTTGGTTGGTTGGTTGGTTGGTTGGTTGGTTGGTTGGTTGGTTGGTTGGTTGGTTGGTTGGTTGGTTGGTTGTGCATGGCAAGTCTTGCCTTAAGCAAGGCTGCGAAGAATTCCAGTCTGAGAGCCAAGGCAAGTCAACAAACATTGCAACATCATGTAATTCTGCTCGGTCATTTGGGGTTGTTGTTTGTTGAGGGTACCCTTTTTGGCGTTGCTTTAAAGCTAGTGGTGCGTTGGTTTCGGGCTGGGAGCTTTTGTCCCGTTTTCGATGGCCTGGCCTGCAGCACGCTGCGCATCAGCAGCAGCTCCGCGGAGAGCACCTCCTGCGCGAGCTCCGGGGCCTTGTCGCCGGAGTCAAGGCGCAGAGTCTCCGCCACTTTGATCAACTCCAGCGTGGCCAGGGCGTCGCTCTTCCTGGCGAGGGGTCATGGGGAGGGAAGGGGGCTCATGGAAAAGAGGGGGGGGGGGGAGGGGAAGGGGGGTCATGGGGGGAGGGGGAGGGCGGAATTGGGTTTTTTGGGTTTGGGGTTGCGCTTAGGGCAGCCAAGATATGCCGAAATTTCCAGTGGAAGAGGCACAAGAAGCTTTCATTCTGCATACCTGCTTCCAGACTTGAGATTGCAAGGGCAGTCTCTTAAACTAGGGGACCCCAAAATGGCGGCTTTCGGGTTGGTTTCATTTGAAAACCAGCCCAAAACGCGCACCCTCGAAAAAGGAAAACTAAAAGAAAAAAACACCCCCCCCCAATTTGGCGCACTCGGCATCCTCCCCGTGAGCACCGTCCGAAGGAGCGAGCACTCTGCGTAGGCGGTGGCATGCCAAATCACCGAGCTCCGCCATGGGTGAAGCAGCACATGAGCAGCCTGCAAGGTTGTAATTCGAGTCCTTCCACTGTCATGTTGGAGGGAAATGGTTGGCATTTCTCCAAGGCTACCTTCCCCATTCAGGGATCCTTCTTTCTAGAAAACCTCCGGAAGCCCGGTTCTTGAAAAGAACGATGGTTGAAAAGAATGGGGAGTCAGCCCCTAGAATTTCCCAATACAACAAGTGAACTCTATCTATCTTTAACCGACCAAACATCAGCACACCTCTGCTGAGGCATCCGGGCAAGTGTCTCACCACGTCGTTGCAGACACAGCGCCATAGGCTTTCCGGACTTCCCACTTTTCATCTCCCCTCTAAAAAAACGGCCTAGAGTCAGACTCCTTGCAACCCCCCCCCGTCTTTTCTGGGGCCAAGCCCGGGGGATTTCGAGTGCAGCTGTGCCCATGCGAAAATCCTTCGGCCCATAGGCTCCACCCGGTCACCTGGTCCCCAGTCCCCAGGCGTCGTCTTCCGGCGGCGTCGAGACGGCGCCTCCAAGTCGTAGTTCCACATGAGCTCCATCGCCTTCCGGAAGGCCAACTTTGGGCCCAGGCTCTGCACCACCTCCTGAGAGGTCGCTTCAACCACTCCGCTTGAGGGTTGATTGCAACATAGAGATATATCATTGTAGATACTATAAGTATGTCATTGTGCGAAAATGCATCTGTATATATGTGTATATATGTGTATGTGTATATGTATATATATATATATAAATATGCATGTATGTGTGTGTGTGTGTTTGGGTGTGTTTATGTGATCAAATGCTTGCCAGGGTGGCTCGCAATTCCGGCCTGGCCGTGTTTTGAACTCCCCGAGGCTCCTGGAAGACTGGCGCTTGGGACTGCCGCACCTTGCTCCGTGAAGGGGAATGCTCCAACTCCTGCGGCCGAGCGCCCCGAAAACCGGCAAGCCGAGCCCCGTGGCAGCGAAAAAGCATGTGATATTTTCGAGGGTGGGCAGAGTGGGGTGGGGTGGGTGGGGTGGTGTGGGGTGGGGTGGGCTGGGGTAGGGGGTGGGGTGTGGTGTGGGGTGGGGTGTGGTGTGGGGTGGGGTGTGGTGTGGAGTGGGTGTGGGGTGGGGTGTGGTGTGGGGTGGGGGTGGGGTGTGCCGTTTCATAACCGATCCAAGTACCACCGGCCATGCAGCTGGCAAGGGCAACACACCACAGCCCAGGCATGAGTTACAACTCACTTCCTGAGTGGACTGGCCACAAACAGTCCCGAAGTCCCGACATGTTGTTTGCCACGAAAATGGCCTTCCCAAAAAGTTCGAAGTCCATGAACTCAGGGAGTGAGGAGACTCCTGCAACATTTGAACACTTTCGTTAGCGCTTACAAGCTGCTAACGAGAGGAGTTGAAATCACCTCCCGCGCTTTGACCCAACGCCGCTCGCAAATCTGTTGCCAGTGGCTGGGAAACACGTTGGCTCGTAGCATTGTCCCGTGGGCCAACTGCCACAAAAGGTCGCTTACACATGGACGCGCTGCGGTCGAAAGAAAACAACAAAACTCCTGGGCTTCTTGTGGAACTCCCCATGTTTCCGCACCTCCCTCTCTCTTTCTATCTACTTCATCCTGGAGCAGCTTGGGCTGTGGGGAGCTATTGATGATGCTTAGCAAAAGAACAGCCTGGCCACCCGACTCTCCCACCATGCCCTGGAAATGGATGGAAATGGGGCAAACACATGCCAGGTCTTATGAGGAGGGCCTGGAAGATCACTTGATAAGAGCCAAGTGGTGGTGCCGAATGCCCCGTCCTCTGGCACCTGCGCGGACCACTCGGAGTTTCGGGAGCAAATGCGTGCCAAGGGCTCCGCGGCCGGCCCAGCCGGCCGGTAGGGCAGGACCTCCGCCGAGGCTGGCACCTGGCTTTGGCAACGATACGGACGGCACCAGCCGAGAGCCTGAGCCTGTCAGGAAAGAAGGTTCCTGTTGGCAGCCTTCCGTACAGCAGCGGTGCGAGATTGAGCCAAGCAAAGCCAGTAGTCTTTTGAGTCTGTTCATCGCATTCTTGAGACAAGGCTGGCTTGGCAAATAACTTTGTACCACCCACCTTGCAGTTTTCCCAACGCCACGACGAATGTAGACCTTCGAAAAACCACCCCAGCCATCTGCCCCAGCCAGCCGCCCTCTCCCCCAGCACCTCCGGCATGGTGGGTGAGGCCGGCAGCTCGGGCAGTTGCGCCAGACTCCGACTTCGGATCCTCAATGCCAAAGCCTCGAGCTCCTCCGCTGGACCCGACAGAAGCAGCGGGCCCTTGCCCGGGCGAACCAGCTGCAGCGTGCCCGCCTCGGGGGTTTCGGCGTTTCAACCATGGAAAACCGACACATGTGGAGACAAAGTTGGGGCATGTCACCCGACCTTGGCAGGTACTGAGCTACATCCTTGGCACAGGTTTTCGCCCAAGCTGCTGGGGAGGCTTGCGCCTTGGGCCACATCTCCAGCTGATCGGATTCCCGGCCTCAGGCTCGTGGCTAGGTATTTGACTAAAATCATTGGGAACCCCATATGTATAACTTATAGATAGAGAGATAGATATATATATATATACATATGTATATATATATAAGGGCAAATCTTGCTCAGACTAACATGGAAGCTCCCAAAGGGGTTGTGTAAAATGGAATCAAATCTTCCAAGCAAATCCTGGGAGATCCTGGGAGCTTCCATGTTGAGGGGGAGGGTATGCCCTCAATGTCCCAGGGTTCCGAA